GCGAGTCTTCCTTGTATTAAATTATAGAAAATTGCAGCTCGCACGACGGAACACACAAATAAATAATGATCTTTCAATTTTTTTTTACTTATAATAGTAAACATCAGTCAATTAGCAACAAAAAAAAACAGTATCATCTTTGCATCAGAATCCTTGTTTAGAAATTGACCCAACTGCTCCATGACTTGCTCCAGTATGTTATAGAGCTCACTGAGTTGGACTGGGAGATCTGGGGAATCCAGAATCGCGGGAATTCCCGGATCCTTGGATCGCCTCCTCGTCGATCGGTGTATCGATGCATCTCAAGGAAAATCCTGGTGGATCTTCGAGATCGTTGCATCAAACGCTTAACACCGACAAATTGATCGTGCTCGTAGACCTTAGACCCGTGAATTTTCCTCGAAGTATTTGGAAATTGATTAATTTTACATTACTCGCGTGATTTTTTTAAAATGTAGTTACTCGTGTGAGGTGTTTCTGACACTCCACAAAAGTTGATACATCTTATTATATTTATTATTGATTTTAATAAATTTGATATGTTTTATTGCTGCTCTAACTTTATCTCTCTGTTTTATCGCTTTGCTTTGTTTATTGAGCTTAATTAGAATAGAATAGAATTTATTTACTTCAACATTATTGACCTTAATTTCATTTTAGTTGTTCAAACTTACACGAGCCTTATTTTGTTATTTTGTTCTGACACTCCAACATTATATGTATATCAATTTCATTATGATTTCATTATTTCTTTATGATTTACAATTGAATAAAAATTGATAATATTATATACATCCTTTAAATAAATTAAGATAAATGCGAAAATTTTATTTTAAATTGTGAAACAATTTGCGCTAAATATAGTAATGCGTATAAATAGTACTCATACATTCAGCGGAATTTATAAGGCGGGGGTGTTCTGGACACCCCACGCGAGTAATGAAGTGCTATCTATACATAAATGTACGAAAAGAGCAATTTTGCTGAAGTATCAAAAAATTTAAGCGCAGAGACAAGGAAAGAGATTTGAAAATAATTTTATTAGACTATCTAAATTATATTGAATACTCAAACAGATTGGTAAAATGTCAAAGCTTTTTACAGTATTATTATCATGCTTGAGTGTCGCTACATAATTATTTTGATTAGTCCAACATAATTATTTTCATCTTTATCTAGCTAAACTTTTAGATACTTGAGCAAAATTCTGTTCTTTCCGTGTGTTAAACTCAAAAACGTCTGGGTCTCAGATCTAACACGTAGTAGATCAATACGCACAATTTTCATTCGCTTATCAATGGCGTTCTTAGGCTGCGCGTGATAATGACATACTTTGAACGATCGCTTTATTGTACGCAACTTGACAACGCAATTGTAGAATCATATCGCTCGCAGATTCACGGTAACTCGAACAACTAGATCTTAATTACAGCGTAGAAGCGACAGTGCGCTGATTTTGTTTAATTGGTGCACATTGTTGCCTAAGTCCCGTCAATTTTTGATGGATCCGATAGATCCGTCTAGACTTTTTTTTCTAATCATAAAAATATCTTGTATTTTACCAATCCAAGGAAAATCGCGATCCATTCAGGTGTAATCCATAATACAGTTTTTTTTTTTCAAAAATCTTTTTACGAGGCGATAATAATTATTATGTTTTTTGAGGTGTTGCGAATTGAAATCATTTTCTCACACTTTCCGTAATAAACGCGACATTATTGCGTTTACTACAAAAAAGTCGCACTTGCTCACTTTACATCTAGATAAAAAATATAATTGCAATTTATAAATGTATGCGACAAACGTATATAAATACTATTTCAACAATATTTACAATTCTGCTTAAATCGCGCAAACATACTATAAAACAAAACGCTTAGAAACGCTGTATAAAATAATATTACCATATATATACGGTGGCACCGGATCTCGCAGACTTTTCAAAAAGTGCAACTTGCAAAACACGAATAATTTATGCAAGTTAATTTCTCATTACGCAATATAATATTTTAGCGGTATACACTATTTTAGAAAGATTCTCTGGACTTTATTCGTAACTACCTTTTCGTCTACATACGCTAATTATGAGAGCTAATCACATTTTCGTTCCGTCATATCATACCAGTGTCATCTCTTCCGAATTCGACCGTACTCGAAGTGATTGCATTTTCTTCGCTCAGAAGTTAATCGCAATCGTCGGAATAGCAAAGAGATATTATTTCTGCGTTTCAGAGCGCTTTATATTAAACATTATTTAACGACGAAACTTTCCGAGCTGAAACTTGCAATTCTGATGACGGTATGCTAAAGATGTAATCGACGTACTCCAAAACGTCGCGGTTTTTCAAGTTATACAAAATACGGTATGACGGATGCGCTTGATATTGGTCCGTCGGCTCTGTTGCCGAACGCGATCGTAGTTCGTTCTTTTGTGATCGTGTGTGTGAGTCGAGATCGTGATTCAATCACGATATAAAGTTAATTGAATAATATAATTACTATCATCGCGATTAACTTACATTTAAAAGACTGTATGTTTTATTTTGTCACAATTTACTTGTCGTTCAGTATATTGAGGTATATTTTAACTCTAAGGCTCAGAAGTTATTCACGCAATATTCTAAATGTCTACGGTGATCGTTCGTTGCGACTTAATAACAATATAAATTATCATTTGATTTATTCTGCGAAGCGTCAAGAAAATTTTAAGACGATTACAACGGCAACAGAGCGGAAGGATAGCTTTGCGAAGCTTACACGCACCTCTGCGTTGTGCGACGCGATGAGAGAGAGAGAGAGAGAGAGAGAGAGAGAGAGAGAGAAGAGGTCTTTGGCTTGCGCGATGAATATTATAATATACATATTTTCCAAGATTCGAAAGAGAGCGAATATATATATATATATATATATACGCGATGATAACGGAAATTATTTACACAGAATAGCGTCCTCTTAGGCGAGTAACGTTTTTTTGATTTGCTCCATGGCTCCTCCGTTGCTTAGAATTCGCGTTTTCTCCAGCATCCGAGTTCTCTCGTCTTCCGTGTCTTCCCAAAGATTTGACTACGGCGCACTTTTATCTCGGCTCGTACAATAAAATTACGCGGGCGAATCGAAAAGCAATTCGTTACCGCTATGACGCGAACGAAATCGTACGGTAGTATGTATATCATTATTAATTTCCTTATATCTCAATCACGGGACATGTGTTTACTCTAGTCTTATTATCGGCTAACCTATCGTAAGAACTTTACGATGCTTAAGTTGAGCTGTTGAATTAACAGTACGATCGTCGTGAATACTTTTTAGAGTCCTTATGATTACACTCGCGTGTCCAGACCGTCGTACTCGGCTCGTTGCACTCAAATAATTCGTCAATGCAGGGTACTTCGCTTTTTTTTTGTTTTATACTCGCTATTGCACGTAAAAAATGCAAAATAATACATCCTTAAATCGAAGGATTTTCAGGATTTCAGGAATTGTCATCTAGAGATTCGATATTCAGTCATTAGAAAAACTATCATGCATTAGAACCGTCACGTACTCTTTTTTTTTCACGTTCGTTCGTTTTCCATCTTTTCGTGTAAAGTGCAGGAATTAGGCAATCGTTCTTCGTTTCTGTCAATTAAATTATCCTTTCCTCTCGCTGAGAAAAAACGAGGGTTTGGCCGTCAGAATCGTCGTAAAGTTCGTGATTGAATGCGAGACAAACATGTCGTTGGTAATTAGTGTTAATAATTATTATATATCATTTTAATCTTAAAACTATACACGAAAAGACACCGATAAAATACAGATAAGGGTATAATTGCATTTAATTATTAAGTAGACTTTCCTTCCATCTTTAGCGTCGGATCGAAGATCCTGGGGCAGTAACAGAATCAGAGATCCGATAGCAACGGGCATTTCGACATCAATATCATTTAGATTCGCTCGAATATTTTTTATTCTTTTTTTTATCATTAATTCGCAACTCGCTCAAGCGAGGCTCAACGAGTAAAACGCCATAAAGTCACCGTAATCGCCATCGATTAATCAACTCGACGCGATTACGACAAATGGCGAACTATAACATGAAATAGACACTTAAGATATATCAGGTCACGATAATTTGTCAATAATTAATATCGAACGCTCGTAAGACACTGCGTAAGACACGCTAACTCTAGGCGATAAATCTAATAAGTATGACGGAGATGTGCACTTAAATAATGTAACACGCCGCGTATTGGGATGCAAAATGTATCTCGGGAGTAAACAAAATACTTTAAGAATAATTGCGATGTCATCAGAGGATAACATCGTCAATCGCAAAGTTTGGTGAATTGGAGAACGATTTACGTCTCTAAAGGTGAAATCGCGTTCTCTGTAACGTAGACGTAATCGGAATATCGGAACGTAAAGTTTCACGAGGTGTGACTCGCGGAAAAGTGAGTATCCGGGAAAAGCGCGACCATGGAGAGCGGCCAAATGGCTCAAGTTTGGCTGGCACCCTACGAGCGTGCGTTTGCACGTGATACGAACTGAGCATAACGAGTTCCCAATCCGCGCACTCGAATTTACTTTACTACTTTTGCTCGGCAACACGTCGCCGTTGAAACTTTTACTCAACACAGACAGAGAGAGAGAAAGAGAGAGAGAGAGAGAGAGAGAGAGAGAGAGAGAGAGAGAGAGAGAGAGAGAGAGAGACACACGATCTATCGCTACTTGTCACATCTTCTAGGTTGCTAGGTTGCTACATTAGTCTACGTTTAATCTACGAACAACATTGGAGACTGCACTCTAATTTTTAAACAATAACGCCCAATCCCTTTCCTTCACAAATAATTCTTGCGCATTTTTTCAACATTACTCACGTATACCGACGATGGTACAAACAGTAGAGATTAAATAACTCTAGCAAAGGACGCGAAAGAGCTCCAAGTTCTTGATCGTATCGAGATTTAATCAGAATCCATCACGGAGTCTGATAATATCGAGCAAATCTGATCGTTAGGCCATACGTATAATATAAATATAGGTACTCGATGCAGTGTTAGAGACTAGACGTCGATGCTCGTTTTTCGTCTCGCGACATACATATTTTCGCGTTATCAATTCTATCGAACGAACTGTCGCAATCTTTGTCATTGCATGCAACATTGTGATTACTGACACAATATCGTGAAAATCCGTCTGCAGCTGAATGAATGCTATCAGTAGCCGTGTGACTGCAAGTGCACTCGTCTTATTAAATCCTTCCGCGTAAGTAAACTTTGTTCTCAAAAGATGCTTTGTGTCTTTACTTAATTAAGGAAGCGATCGAAGCTTCGTCGCGCAAGGGTCTGGACACGCGAGGTCAGTAAAGTGGATTAAAGTGAAAATCGATTTTGTGAATGTTGTAAATGTAAAATGCAAGATTTAATATCAACGACAAATTACAAGTAACCTAAAGTCGCATAAGTTTTTACATAGGGTGCATCCACTCTACAGTTTTCCCTGAAACAGACAGTGAGCGCTCCGTACGAATAAGAACATTATTACGAGGTTATTACTTGAGTACGGTGAGAGAAACTTTTGGAAGCGATCGTCGCGACAGCAAGCGTAAGCGGTTTAGGTCGGGTCAGGTACTTACTCGTCCTCCCACGGGCATACTTCGTTAACATTATTGTCACGCTTCTCCCGAGGCTCTGCTTGCGACGCCGCCGGTCGGTCCTCCTGTTGGGCGTCCGGTTCCCAAACAGGCACGACCTGCACCTCCTCGAGCAGCTCCTCGGTCGTCGCCGGATCCTCGGCCACCGGCGACACATCCGCCCCGGTGTCGGCCCGCGAGTCCTCGCCTTTTATTTTCTCCTCAGCGACAATCTCTCCCGCATCCTTTGCCGTGCAGCTTTCGCTCGCGTCCTCGTCGGCGTTCTCCATCGTGGAATTGTCACTCGGTAGATCGCCTACGATCGCGCTGATGCTGATTAAGGGCGCCTTCGCGCTTGTCCTGGAGATAGAAGCGGGATTTCGTTTCTTGATGGTAGCCGAAACAGATTGTCAAATACTATCCATATCAGGTATATATATTTCATGAGTAATTTACTTTGGACTCGGCTGGCTCTCCTTGACGACGACAGCTTCCGCGACAGTTTCCTCCTCGGGCACGATCTTCTCCAGGGACGATCTCTCTTCAACCTTTTCTACCACCGCGTGGGAGTACTCGAATGACTGTTGAGGCGACGGATAGTTACAGGACGACACGGATATACGACCTATCTCGGCCAGCCTGATACGACCGCTCGCTGAACAGGTAGAATAATTTCGCGTTATCGGGCCTGAAGTCGATGTACCTGAGTGTTTTAAAAACAGAAAAGGGAAGACGATGTTTAAAGATAAACTTTACTTTTCATGCGATGTCTTCTTTCTTATTGAATGTGTTTAGCAAACACAACGGTTGAATGAGCCTTGGTATATTTTTCTAGATTTATCTTATGGATTTAAAGGTCTGTGGTTGGTGATTTGCTTCAAAAACTTTGACATTCGAAGCTTCGAAACTTTGATATTTCAATCTTCGAAATTTCAAAGAATCAAAATTATACATACAATTATTAATTTAATATAGTTAATAGTAACGAATATAACTTCATAAAATAGATACAAATATATATATATATTAGAATATATATTATGAATATATTTTAATTTTGTTTAATTGCACAAATATATTTTTCGAAGTTTCGAAGGCACCTTAAACTTTGACAGTTGAAATTATTAACTTCGAAGATTTGAATTCTTTTAAAGTTTCCAATCTTCGAAGAAAAGCAACATGTTGTTAAAAGCAACATTCCTAGTCAACGCTAAACACTGGCAACAATTACTTAGCGCTCACTCAACCGTTATGTTTATTGAACGCATTCGCAATAAGTTTTTCAGTTGTATACCGACCTATGCTACCGCTATGCTGCAAACTACATGACTTCCGCAACCGTTCGGATACGTCCGCGATAGCAAGGCTGACGTCCGACGACGAGCTGCACGAGTCCAACTGTGCCGAATTCTTCCGGGAGGCACGTGCCTCGGCGGAGTGTGCGGTCGTCCCGTGACCGCCACTGTCCCACACGTGTCGGGTCTGATCAGCTGACACTGTCCTTCCAGAGGACACGGCGTCTCCCGTTGCCCCGTGCTCCGTGCTCGGGCCCGGCACGGCCTCCCACGGGCACACGTCGTCCATAGGGCGAACTGCCATTTCCGTCGTGCCAGCATCCCTGACAACAGGAACTTTATTATATTTAGTTTTCACCGTTTGCTTTCGGCAGAAGGTACCACGCGCTTCGTGTGCGTGTTTCGTGTGTTCTGCGTATATATATATATGTACGTGTCTTTTATCAATCTCAGTCGATTACATGCATGCGACTCCATTCAACGACTAGGGAAAATGTAAGTCTTTATATACATACAAATGTTACAAGGATCTCCCGGAATTATTCTCGCTTGAAAAGTAGCGGTGCAAAGACGAATAATTCCGGGGCGTCCTGTAGGGGACGTTGGGCGATTTGTTCTGTCATGTTGGGATCGTTTCAATCCTCAGAATTCTTGTCGCGCATTCGAGTAATCGCAGGATTTTAACATTGGATAAACATTTACACGAAAAGAATGGTTTTGCTGAAGTATCTAAAAATTTAATTAGATGCAGATCTGAAAATAATTTTGTTTGGATGGTTAAAATAATGTGGGACGCTTACACTGCAAATTACTAGCATGTTAAAATTGTTTGCAGCATTATAATTAACGTTTAAGCGTTCTACATAATTATTTTGATGGATCGAAACAAAATTATTTTCAGATCAGTATCTAGCTAAATTTTTAAATACTTCAGCAAAAACGTTTTTTTCTGTGCATCGAACATTAGAAAACGTAAATCATAAAAAAAATTTTATAACGTGAAAAGAGTTGGTACATACTTTCCTTGCTGTGCAAATAATGTGCTCGACAAGTATCGTACGTATAGGTAATGTGTTACATAAAATATTACAGAGAGATATATATGAGTACAGAGGTATAGTAAGCTTGATACGGACGACACAATATCGACATCAAGACAATTATACAGAGTGTCTCAAAATACGATAACAGGTCAATAAGAACTTTTTTCCTTTGTTTTATTTTGTATATCAAAAGAGAATATATGATTTAGAAGTTTTTGAGACACTCCGCATAGGATAGTATTTGATAGTATTCAGAAACACTGAAATTTATCGAGGAACGGGCACAATATTGTCATACAATACTATTATCAATGATACATTGCTTTACATACATTTTGGTGAACTTTTCATAAAATGATTTCTTTGAGAGTGCGAGAGTTTTCAAACACACCGAGATAAGAGGGTCTGCCAAAGTCTGATACGAAGGTACAGTGGAGCGCACGGTGCAACGGAGCGCGTTAATAACTCGTACTGTCCTCCCTTCGTGTATCTCGGACCGGGCTCGTTATTGCTCGATCGTTATTTTGAAATACGCAAGAGCTGGCACGCGGCACGGGAACACGAAAGGAACGCGAGTAACAAGTCTCTTCTGTAGAGATCCTCTAATAAGAGTCTGGACATGAGAAAGTCACTTTTGATTGATCCTCTATACTTTAACAATTCCTGAGAGAGAGAGAGAGAGAGAGAGAGAGAGAGAGAGAGAGAGAGAGAGAAGAATACATAAGAAAAAGATGAAACAGAAGGAGAAAGAAAAAGAAATAGTAAATGTAGGTCTTTCTCTCTCGACGATTTTTTTTTTAAATTACTATTTTACATATAAAACTACGATTCGTGTCCAGACTGTTATTAGAGGGTCTCTTACAGTTTTGTGCGTTCCGCGCGCGCCGTCCGCTCCTACACTTAATTGAGAAAACCGTGGTATGTATCGGGGGTGACTTACTGAATACTACGTGGACTAGGCCTCGAAGGTATCTTTACGAGTCGTGGTAGATCTCCCCTGAAAATACGACGCGCACGAATAAGCCTATCATCGGCCACGTCCACCCGATATCGCGCGTATGGATAACATGCTAAAAGCGCAAGAATAGCCGTATCTCGCCGGACAACGTAGGACAGATATACTCTCTCGGGAACCACACTCTCGGGCCCCCCAATCCCCGCATACCTGTATGGAATGTCGGTGAGATTCGACTGGCTGTGGGAGTGCGGAACTCGCGGCGCGGAAGTGACGTCACGGACGCCGCACACCGCGAGCTCATGGGCGCTTCCAGACAGACTCCGGTCGCTTCCTCTTCGCCTGCCGCCGCCACCACCTATGTTAGCGTGCTGCAAAGTGCTAGACGTTGGTGTCGAAGTGGAGGAAACTTTCTTCTTTGTTTGGCCGCCGAAGACGAAAAATCTGGAAAAACAAACAAGGCGCTTCGATGCGTGTAGCTTGCGACTGAAGCCCATTTTACAACTACAGTTACTTACAACTATGTTTACGTAATTGTAAAATGGACTTAATACGACACGTACATGGAAAGATCTTGCTGGATTATCTAAAAGTTTAGTTAGATCTGAAAATAATTTTGTTGGATCATAAAAATAATTACGTAGGAACGTCAAGCATGATGAGCAATGCTACAAAAAGTTTCGACATTCTAGCAACCAGTTTGAGCATCCTACAAAATTATTTTGATAGCCAAATAAGTTTACTTTCAGATTTGTATCTTAGATATTTCATTAAATTTTTAGATATTTCAGCAAGACCATCTAATTCGATGAGAGACTCACCTTTTCTTCTGCAGAGGTTGCACGCCAGCAGCTAAGAGATTACGATATTGATCGGAACGAATAAATCTAGGGTAGCAGTCCTTCTTTAGCAGTAGCGTATATACATGCTCCGCGGCGGAATCAAACGTAAATCTGCTCGGATTTTTCATTTCCTGATGAATCTTCTCCATCGTTTTCCCGTCTATATTGATTTCGCACGGAGCTCCAGGTGCCAGGAATTCTCTGCGTGAATTTCCGAAACGTTACGAATAGATTATTTTTTACAGATCGAAATAGCGTAACATGTGCGTACCTAAAAATTTCGTTGACTTTGTCAGGTATTTGTGCTTGAAAACTATGCCTGAGATCTTTGACCGCCAGCCAAAATCTTATATTCTCGTGGCTGTATTCCTTTCTTAAATAATTCGTGAATTCTTGTAAACCTGTTGCGGCAGAATAGTGCTTGTGAGTTTGCTAGCGGAATGAACTATGTTCTATTAATGCGATCGAAAAGTTTACCTGTAGGATCAGACATAAGTTCTTCCATCGACAGCGCCCATCGTTTAACGCGTTTCTCTGTAGGAACGTCCACTCTAGATATGCATATAAAGTATATTATTGAATTTGTCGCGTTCCATAGATTAGATAATCCGATTTTCATTACTTACAAGCTACTATTCAATTGCCAAAACGTATGATCGTCGGTGACCCATGGATTGGAAGGTTGCGGTTGTACGAACATTGGATCGTATTCTACGTACGTTTCGAAGTATGATTTCAAATTTTCGATCGCAGTCGAAACTTTTATCCTCGTGCGTATCAAACTTTTCCGTAGAAGGGCCACCTGTTAAAAATTATATACGGGTATAAATCGGAGATTTAAAACAGCAGGAAAGCCAATCGATGAAGATTGGCACTAACCAGTGAGAGTGCGTTTACGTGACGGAGGTCGTGGAAGTCCAGGGCGAAAACGAGTGGGTACGGGCACGGCTTCCAGGCTACTGAGACAACCGGGTGGCGGTCGATATACTCTCCAAAATGCTCGTTCCTGCGAATCGCTCACTATCTTGTCGCCTTTCTTGCGCTCCTTAGATAAGCGTACCTGAGCCCACACAATCAGCAGCATTTCAAGGAGTCACGTGCTCGAATATGCGGAATTGGTATTTACGTGGGACAATACTTGCGGTATACTATTGAAAATTAAGTGCAATAATAACGGATAGTTATTCACCTGTTCTTCTGCTTGTAGTTGTATTATGTCCCACTTGTTCTGCAAGTTCTTACGCAGGCTGTTCAAAGCTTCCTAAAGAGATAGTACGGTTTTCTTTTACGAAAGAAAGTCTTTAAATAAATTTTTCATTATCGCGTTAGCGCGTTAGCAACGTGATTTTACATACGATCTCATAATCCTCGAGAGCGTGACGTTGTTTGTTCCTCAGAGTTCGTTTAGCCAGATAGATCGCGTACTCCACGTTGTCGGGGGTTCTATGTTGCCACGGCCAATAATAGGGTGTCTACGCGTATCAATTTTTCGTATATGAGAATTAAAAGATTTTGGATAAATCGGAAATTTTACTCTTTCATTACTTTCGAATATACGACTCACCTGAAACCTATACAGAGAGCTATCGTCCTTAACAGTAAGTGTCTTGGAGTCATTCACCGGGAAGAAGTAGCCATACTGGCATAGTTGATTAGCAATATGGACCGCCTCTACTGTCAAACACAATAATGCATCTTGATATCTGAAGAAACGCTTATATCAACAGAAGTGTCTCTAAGAATCGCTTAGTGTTGCTTAGGGTCGTGCAGATCACTCAAACGATGTCACATTGCTCTGTGTCGTATTTTGGTTGTCTGTTCTTATAATTTTTCTAGCGGACGTACATACGTCCGAAGAAATGCCCATAATAAATTTTAGTTTTTATTATTTTTAGGAAATTGATTGTGTGTTGCTTTGATGACCTTTCTTCGAAGAGGACACCAGCTCGCTCTCCTGTTCTCTCTCTCTCTCTCTCTCTCTCTCTCTCTCTCTTCAAGTGATTAATAACGAATAATTAATTCGGTTTTTCTAGTAAATTAAACTATATAAATATCGATCCACTATATTTTTATAAATACTATCCGCGAATTTCTGCGAGTTACGAAGACATTTATTCTCTAAATGCATTTGACACGAATTACGCTCGCTTCGCGACGGAACAGGAGTGTAATTTACGGTCTTCATTTGCACGAGGCGAGAAAAAACTGAACGAAATCCAGAAAATCCTCGAGAATATTTACCGTTGCTCAGCTGCAAATTCGCGAGTTCTCTCGTCATTAATCTCTCATCTTTTCAATAACCAGCAGCGTAAATTCATATTCGACTTGAACGAAAAAGAATATTCTGTGTAGTGTGACGTGTTAGATGTAATCGATGCTCTTTAAAGGCACCAAAGCGAAGAGTATCGATGCAAATGGATACTGCGAAGCGAAACTATATCGATAGTTCGTTAGCATCCTCAGGCAGAGCGTTGTGGTTGCGCGTGTGGGGGGGGGGGAAGGGGAGGACACCGAGCCGAGCGAGCGAGGGACAGAACGGCACAGGAGCGGAGAGCAGCCGGCAACGATCAGTAGTAGACATACGAGCCCGTACCTGATTCTTCGATGGCAAGCCGCTCCATCAGCCACTCGATGAGGTCGTAACCTGCAACACGCAGGCAGCCTACTGTAGTGTCCTGGCCGTGATGGCCGCTTACGCTTACTCCACAACGCAGGTACCGATGGCACTCACCCATGAACGCTGAAGGGATCGAGGTGAGAAATTGTTTTTGGCTGCGCACGGGTACCCCGCTCTCAGGGTCTTGCATCTCCCGCACCAGCCCCTCCATCTGCGCCAGAGATCAACGCGACAAATGATTATTATGGTTCATTAGCGACGTTTAATCATTGGCTGTATTCAGCAAAAAAAAGCAGCTTTGCAACTATTGTAAAATTCTTTGATATAATTGGTTTAATTTACCCTTAGTTCTTCACTGGATCTAAATGTAGGGAAGAGTAATCTAAATCGGACCTATTTGCAGTTTTTGCTCTCTATAAGGCGTAAATAAAGCCCGATCATAGAATCGAAGGTGCCGTTGGAAAGATCATTTAATTCCCTTCATTTTTGCTTTAGATTATTTTGACGTATCTCTCACCTGTGTTAAACTATAATGGAAAATGTAAAAACGCTTTTTCCGGTCCGATTTGGAACCATCGGACCATTCCCTGGTTCAAATCGAAAACTCCTATTTTTATGGATTTTTAGATAGAAATTTTAAAATATTTAAATGTATTTTTCTTAGTATTGAGTAAAAACGAGCAATTTGACAGTCAAAGATAAAAAGTTTTTCGAAAGAAAAAAGAAATTACTGACTGTTTATATTATTAGAATTGAAATCAATAAAACTCAACTAATCTGAGTCTGATGATTCGTGATATTTTACTGATTTAATTGCTTGGACCAGATCTGGTCAGCCGATCACCAGTACTACAACCAGGCCTATAAATTATTCACTGTACTGTCCGGTTTGGACACGGGTCTTTTCGAACTTTGGAACAAATTTTACAATTAATCGCAAAAGTGATCACAAAATGCTTTATATTTTTTAATTCTACACTCTTTAATTATCTTAAATCAATTACTTTTCAAATTTTTAACACCTTTTAAATAATGATTTACAAGGATTTTTTTTTTTTTAAATTTTCGCACGCGATGACTGAAAATACATATTTGCCTCTATTTTATGAATGTTATGATAGAGAACTGTCAAACTGCTATCACATGTTCGATGTCTTATAAGGACTTTACATTATAAATAGTACGCAAATCTGCTTAACCGTATTCATTTAAATTAAAAAGATCCTATTTGGAACACGGTCCGATTTAGAGACCACTCTCCTCTATAAATCAATCATTAAAGAATTTTACAACATTTACAAGAAATTTAAAGCTGCTTTTTCTGCTGAATGCAGCTATTACGTTTGTAACGCCGCGATTGGGAAATGATTTATTCGGGCGAGAAAAGAATGTACCTTGTCGAAGGCGTAAGGCCTGTGAACGCGTGGCTCCTTCTCTTTTTGTTGTTGATTGCTAGAGGCCTCCATCGCGATCGAGGCGGCCCTCTGCGTCGCTGGCAGGAGCGGTGTCGATATCGATGGCGGAGGGGGCTGGGGAGCTGGGCCGGAGACGGGTCTACCCGAACTCCATGGGGCTCTGGCCCCATCCCATCACTCCAGTCACCCCCGCACGCCCACTGAAACATCCCGCAAATTGTCCTTTTACCTTCTTCATCATTTCGTTTCAGATACAGACATAACAGAGTATATAGACACACAAGTGAATTACAAACTAAATTGGTAAAAAAACATTTTTATTCCAATAACGCGTCCAAAAATATGTTATACAACGACGTTAAAGTGAAAAATTCTGCTTTAAAAGTCCTGATTTTTAAGCGAAATTTCCACGTCTTCTACTTGCGCTTTGAAGAAAAGCTGTACATAATTTAAAACGCTTATGTCTCTATCTTTCCATTTAATTATTCACGTTTCTCGTTTACGCGTATACAAGACTCCCTCGTTTACGCGTGCGTATAAAATTAAACTGCAAAAAAATTCTACAAATAAAATCGTACGAGTATATATTCCAATTAAATAACAGTTTTTAACTGCAAGTTATTGAGAAATAAGATTCTGCAAGAAAGTGTAACGTATTCTCAGATTGAATTTTTTTATATTATCGAATTTCAATTTCTTCGGTACTTGTACCTACGAAATTTGAACCTCGAAATTTTAGGAATATCTACTCGACATTCTAAAATAGCTACTTTTCTCGTACATCTCTATAGTTCGTTCAATTTTTAATGCTTTGTCTTTTGATACACTTCCTCCGACAAGAACGTGCCGCTCTCATTATTTATCAAAGCACATCGGATTAAGAAAAGTGGACAGAAATATCAGACATTTAACTCGTAGAAACAGAAACATTTGTACGTATATTAAGGGACATTTACGTAAGCTATTTTTACAATCGCTATTGATGACTATATATTCGCCGAATGTCATTGGCATTGATTGATCCAACATCTCCGTACAATTAACTCTCTAACATTTGTGGGAAAGTGAACGACTTAGAATTATAAGTTATATTTATAAAGTTATTTATAACGATTGAATTAACAATAAGATAAAAGTTTTGAAGTCATTACAAACAGAAATCTATTTTTAAGTGCGTCTGAGTGAAAATATTCAATTCTGCAATTCGAAATATTTAACTCTTTATCAGCAATATTGGATTTTAAAGCCCAATTGATTTTTTGAATTCTGATAGATAAATTTAAATCTGTAAAAAATCGTAAAATCCAACTTCTATGATAGTAAAACTTCATTATTGAAGCTTTCATAAGTAAGATTTTTTCAGATTTTTATACAGCCCGAAAAATAGATAAAAATCTGTACTGAAATTCAAAGACCCAGATTGCAGAAAGACGAAGGATGAAAATTTCAGAGGATGAAAACATTGCCAATGAAAGATCAATTAGCTAGATTCGAAAACTCATAAATTATAATTCCAAATTGTTATTTTTTTTATCCTTATGCCGGAGAAGCTAGCAGAAATTTAATCGACAGACCAATTATTGATATAATAATAAATAATAAATAATAAAGCTTTTGTCGAATATTGCGTTTGAACTTTACGAGCATCGATTTATTTCTCACGTCTGCGTCAATCTACATGAGATACACAATCTATATGAGATACATAGTACCATATATCGTATATAAAGTTCGTTAGATAGATAAAAGCATCTTCGGACAGATCATTTAGCTCGAATAAAAGAAAACCGGGCATTTTACCGGGATTCTACTTCCGCCTTTCAGTTTCCGCAGTTCCACGTGCTCATGCAACGAACTGCGACAATAATAAACGGCAAACGGCAAAATGCGCCAGTTCGACGCTATAAACGCTTCTCTTCTGTGTGCGTTGTTTCAGATTGCGGATGAAGATTTACTTTATTATATATATATATATATATCCGCCGTTTTCTCATAGTCGAATAAAAATCTCCGCAGTGTTTCTCATAAACCCGGAAAACGTTCCCCGGCTCAACTAGGGAAATTCATAAGACAAGATATAATCTGGGCTTTATGTGGTCGACTTTTTTCAACAGAAACGGAACTTCCAGTCGGGCGATTTGCGCGTCAAGACAAGAAAAAGAAGGTCTTCCACGAAAACTTAAGGAAAAAAAGAGTCGGGCTATCACGTTCAGCGTTAAAAGTACGACAATACAGGTCGCCCGAAAGTTTTCATGGACCTTGCGGCGAAACACGAATGACTCGCGGAAACTCAAAGTTTCGCTGTTAAAAATGACGCCGTAACGCTGTGATCGCGTTACTGATGGTATCGTGTTACTTATGATATCACGTTACCATCCGACTGATCTCCCGAACAATGCAAGGTCAACGCAAATCGCCATCAAGGCTATGACGCTATGAAAAACCGAGTACCGTCCTGAAAATGGAGATGGCTTTGTGCATGTGTGATCAGGTGTAGTCGGGCAGTCAGATAAAGCCGCCGTCGATACATCGATGTATCTCGGGTTGATGAACCCGAACCTATTCGACTGGCGATAATGGGAGTAGTGTTCTCGTCTAGCTAAAGAGAAGAAAGGCGAAATGTGGGAGAAATATAGGGGGAAAAGGAAATAGGATACACACAAGTCATTGAGTCATGCAACACCATGCTGATATTTCAACTGTTGAAATGATTTAGACTCGCGTTTTAAAGTCGCTCCGAGTTGTTCCATTGTACTTCTTTCAACATGCTGACTGTCGAATTTTTCCATTTTCGTCGAAACAAGTTGTTAAGTTGGTCATTTTACGCGACATCTGTTACAAAACTTTCGCTTCGCCTTACTTCCAAGCTTAAAATTGGATACGTTCTTAAAGGCAGTATCGACAATACTCGAGAAAGTCGCGAGCGAGAAATTTGAAAACGCTTTTAGAAAAGTTAAGTAATTCGAGATAGAGTAAGAGATAGAAGAATAGAACAAAACGAGAAGACTGAATTCCGATTGGCAAATGCTCGATATAGAAAGGAGGGAAATAGCCAGAATATCAAAATGAATCCCCAAATGACCTGGGGACAAGCAGATGCGTGGGCGAAAGCATATTCCTCCCCTGCATCCTCGTCGAGCCTGCACCCTCTCTTCGCCTGCCAATTTACGTGCTAATCTGAAATCGATAAGTCCTCCGGCATGTCCTGAGACTTTAGGAACGTACGTTTCTACGAATTATTCAGTGCGCGGAGTTATTAATGCCCTGCTCAATTACAGGCGAGTTTTCAGTGACTACAGGAAATCAATTAAGTACGCGTGGGGGGTGGCGGTGTCCCTCGTCGCGTAATCGTTAACCCTCGGCTGGGATTACAATAGTCTCATTTTCTCATTTTGTCCGTAAATAATCCGTGTAACATGCGTCATTAAGGTCTAAACGGCTGCTCGTGTCTGAATCTGAAATTTTATTCCGTCATTACTTTGATTTGGGGTTTATTTTATCTGTATTTATATATTGCGTTTATTTTAATCTTTGCGTTGCGCTTCCCTTCAAATTGATAGCGTAACTTCGTTATTTGAGTCACTGATAACTGATACCAAATATGAAATCCAATAAGCCGTTTATTAGTGTTGCTCTAGTATCAGAGAAATAACTCTACCGAACAACGCATGTGAGGGTTTATGTATCTCATGAAATCATCGTTTTGATACCAATAATTTATAAATTAATTGTTTTATTCCACAAAAAACATAATTAGCTGTTTTGCAGGTTAATGTGAGAATGTGTAATTATATGAGTGCATGCATATTTTTTTCAAAGACTGCATATTCAACATTTGCTACATACTTTTTGAAATGCAAGTATATTATCGAATGCCGATGTTTCTTGGCAAAATCACTTTAAATAATTAAATAGCGCTCTATGAAGCGCAATTTGCTTTGCCAAATGTGTCCAATTACCTAAATCGAGTAACGTACATCTTTCAGCATTTTTTAAAATATTTTTTTCACAAAAATCACCATCATAAATTTTGACGAATACCGAATGCTAGCAGTGTACGTGATGTAAATTGACCATATAAATACATACGATATCACATTGGCCAATGTTGTCATACATATATCATGCGTAGAGTCGGCTTTAAATAAACAAGAGAACAATGTGTGACAGATTCTGGTAGTAAATGAAAAGAGGAAATATCCATGTCATTCTATATTTTTAATCGTGATATATTTTGCATATCCGTTGTTCCGTATTTCCGCAATCGCCACAGCTGCGAGGTGTGATAAATGTCGCTCTCAAGTTTTATACGGATTATCACATAACATTCGCAACACGTCGTGGAAAGTGCGTGAAGGAAAATCAGGAAAAATAGTACTTCGGGCCAATTCTAAGAAAAGCTCGAATGAGTAATATCAGCAGGAGAAATCACCGTCTTGGAAGAAGGCCGTCATAAAATTCCGAGAGAAGCGACACTAAGCTCGCCTTTCTACGGGATTAACTCTTGCAGAATTCTCTCTCGACGGGACTCGTTTCCCCGAGAAGCTTTGTGCGGCCGATAACGAATTTCCTTGTTTCCTATTCAGACACGAGACATTCAGCAAACACGAAGAAAGCGTGCACGGCATTAACCCTTTTCAATTGTGAGAAAAGGAGTAAAATCGTTGGCTCTTCTGGATTTCTCGAATTCTGAGCTACTTAAATTTTCCTTGAATTCTTAAGGGTCGTCTACATAGAAGTCGTAGACGGTCATGAAGTCTTAAGTCGTAGGAAACCAACCAATCACAATCAAATATAAGGAGAATACTCGACTAGAATTGGTCAATTTCTTACGCTTTTGAAACTCTACGACTGTCTACGACTTCTATGTAGACGAGCCTTTAGAGACTCCGATTGCTATTTCATAATATAGTGCGACTTCGAGAGAAGTCGCGTTGGCGAATTGTCGAATCGTTGTTTTCTTATCATAAAACCATTTAGTTTATCGTGTATATAATTCCGAAGCAACGCACATCCTGTGTATGTTGCAAGTGACAGAGCGGCATGACGAACAAAACGGATAAAAATAAATACTGTCTGTGTCCTTTGTTTCCGGCAGACACGATATAATCGGTCAGTTTGCCCAAGTAACGAACCCGGGGGCGAGTGTTACCTCTAAATAACCCCTAAATTGATTGAACGAACGGTTCCGTGGAGACGA